AAGTTTTTGCATGTGATTATCCAATAGTTTAACATTAACCTTGGATTTGGAATCTGTCGACAGCCAATTAACATCAGGTAATGTCTCTTAATCATGGTAATTAATTATGTTAACTCGAAACCATAAAAAGGGATAAAATAAAATACGTTGTCCATGTTAAGGCTCAAGAACAAGATCCTGTCTTAAAGATGAAGTGATGATTCTTCCCTTTATGGATCTTATAAAAATGTCTCTCTATTTTCTTAATCTTCCCCACCACCTTAATGCATGGAGACATGATATTAAGGACCACATAATTGGTTCCCTAAATCCAATTATACTTTTAAAAAAAATCCATTTCAAGGACCTATAAAATGCAATTACACATACAAATATCAATTAATACATTCGATAATTAGAGAATAAGACATTACAATTCATAATCAGGATAAAAATAAAGACAGAATTTGTACATAATAAGAGTTTAAATCAAAATAAAATTTAGAAAAAAAATGATGAATTTCTTATATTAGAGAAAGAAATAATAATGTTATGCTTTCTGGAGAAGGGAATTGTTCATAAAATTAGGACTGAACAATAAAAATAGAAAAATTAAAAATCGATGTGAATTATAGTAAATGTTTTATACTTTTTTTTAACAATTTCGTAAATGTTTTATACTTTAAAATAATGAAACTACTTAAAAATGGTCATCGTTAATTATTAATTTAATTAACTACATGCTTGCACGAAATCATGTTCACCAAGCTTTAAAGGATATATGTAATTGCACGATTCAAAATCAGTGTTATGATTCGCACGATAATTATGAATTAATATATACCCTATTTATATACCGTCTAATTTTTATTTAGAGTTGATTTAATTTGATTATGTATAATTTATTTAGTGTTGGTTTAACTTATACTCGATCAACTGGATTTAACTTTATATAATAATATGTAAACTTATAATTATATATAAGTTAAATCTAATTAATCGAATATCCATCTTATTAATTTTTACACTTGAGATACATTTTAAGGTTGTATATTAAAACTTAAATTTAAATAATATATTTATATATATTAGTTTGGGTTTTTAATCAATTTATATGAGAAAACTGTGTATGAATTACTCTGGATAATGGGAGGAGAGAAGACTCATTTGGATATTATTTTATTTTTCTGCACTTTATCTATATTTTTATTGCTTCCAATAAGTATTAATTATAGCCTACTTCTTCCCCACCAATTATATTTTCTTAACAATTTTTTTCTCGAGATGTTAAAAACTGAAAATAAAAAAATATTTGTCTTTAATGGCAATGTCAAAGGTCAAAGATTTGCATTACTGTCTCTGTCTCCCACACTCAACACATTCTCTAACCCCTAAAGCACAACCTTAAACCCTCTGCCCTTTGGCCCCAAGCACTGTGCACCCTAATTTCTCCACCCACCCTGCATGGATGTCCCACTTTTTTTTTTTTAACAAATTAAGTCACAATAAAAGTTTATTAATCCATTTTTCCCATAATTGAAAGATGATTTCGTGCCAATGATTTAAGTAAGAACAATTTTACAATATGGAAGTTCTGGTATATTCCTTGAAACAAACAGTTGAACGTCATACGGTATATAATCAAGCAATGAAATTCGATAGTGGTCACGAATAGACATTTTCATTAATCGTTCAACTACTATGTTGAATTCTTGCGGGATCCAAAGAAGTTTCGTAAATCAGACTTGATTTCGAATAACATAGATGGTTTTTATTGGTAGGAGAGAGTTGAAGTCTGTGCTTAGGCAAGGACTAACTTCATGGCTTTCGTACAGTCTGATTGCACTTGCAGCTGTTCAAAACCATGGGTCCATTCCACTTGAAGATCAATGTAGAGGCACCACAACTCGACTTGAAGTGGCGTGACGATAACAAAAGCTTTCCAAAATCATCCAACCACCATTGCTGGAGCGGAACAAACCTCCAATAGAACTGAAACGAATGATAGATGACACCGAGACATTGGTGTTCAACCAGATCCAGTCTTGCTTTAATATTTATATTATATTACTTTTATTACTTTTTTATGTTTATTTTACAATTTTTGTTTGGAGTTTGTAATTGTTCCTAGTCATTATTGTTGGTTTCAATTAAACACTGATACAAGATTTTATATTATGGGTGATACAAGATTTTATATTTTGGGCGAATTTTTAAAATTTTAAAATGATAAACTTATAAGATTTTAAGAGATAAAAAATTGTTAATAAAAAATATAAAAATATATCTAAAATATATATAATTTTTAAAATTTTACGAACAACTTCTCCCCGCCGTTTCCTCATTCCAACTCTGAATACGGTGGCGAAAAGGGAGTATTAGGTTGGTGACACTTGGCAAAAAGTGGAGAGATCTTTGGTGGATGGCAATATGTGATGATGTGGCAGTGACATCAACTTAGGGACCTCTTTATCCAACAACTTCTCTTGAATTCGGGGAGTATGATATATTGTGTGAAACCATTCATACACTGACGTGGCGATTTGTTTATTCTCTTAAACGGCCTATTATTCATGATTATACTCGGAGATTATGAATTTCATAATGATAAAATGTATGCGTTGATAACATCACGAGGAAAATTAAACGTGACAGTTTTTTTATCTCTATATTTATTTTAAAATTTATATATATTTCAATTGTAAAAAAATAATGTTTATACTAAAAGTCTTGGATTCAAATAGTTGTGTCTTCATGTTATGTATATTGTGAATATATATTACTTTATAATAATCCCAGATTGATAAAAAAAATTAAACCGATACATTAAAATGCTACAAATACATTTACGTATCAATTCTACAAACATTCAATGTAAGGAGAAGATAAGCAAATTTGCAATTAGGAACCACTTAATAATGTTACGTTTGAGTGGAACTTAGCCTACGAATTTGACATTGGGGTCATATTGCGTGTGCTATATACATATGTAATGTACTTGACCTAAAAAAGATAGTTTGGGATTTGTTAGGTACCAAGTGCAAGGACAAATGTCTTCCAACTAAGCTCATTGTAGTTAATTTCGTCATCGTAAAAAACCTTGTCAAACTGATATTGTGAGACCAGCATGCTTTTCGAGAAAAGGAAATTAGGACATGACTTGTTTTTGTCAAAGGTTGTTACTCTCTCTTGCATGACAATTTTATGTCAACTACAGAAGGAAAGATACGATAGAATTAGAAAATGATTTTGTAGATATGTGTAAAAAAGAGTTCTATTTATGTTTGAGTTATGATACGAAAATATTTATTAGTCAGCTTGTAATATATATCGAGAGTCAAAGAATGGGATGTTGTAAAACCTTTTTAATTATTTGGCCAATCTCCAAACGCTAAGAAATTATGGATCAACATGTTTTCACATCGTCCACACAATATATATCTGCTCCTTTATTGTATCCCTATCATGACTTTGATGCTTTCTTCCAAGACAGACTTTCTTATATAAAATACATTATAAATTTGTATATGCATATGTAAAAGTCATAGCAATATTGTTGAATTTCTTTTGAAAAAAAAAGAACATAAACCTTGGTTTTCAAGCTTAGTTACATTCTTTTTTTTACACGTGTTTCACATAATTTGATTAATTATATTTACGTTAGAGCACGTTACACATTAAAATTTATACAAATCTTTATTTTAAATGATTTTTAATAATATTTATGTCGACCGAATTATATTTGATCGATATATTAATTGTGAATTTAAAATATTTTACTATTAATATCTAAAAAACGAACTTAAAAATAAAATTTAGATGCTTAAATTCAAAGTCAAAATGCTATAGGTATTTTTGTATAGTGAAATTGGAAGGCGTAACTACCCATAAAGAATGTAATATTATATAACAACATATGTAAACGCGGCGAGTATTTGCAGGTGATTAGGAATCCTAGTAAAAATTAAACTGCGTGAAGGAACTGAATTCCCATTCGTACACGTGTCAAATATTATTCTTCAACACGAAAATAAAAAACAAAAATTAAATAAAAGAGAAAAAAAAAACAAACGGCCTCCAAGTATATGCCGTACGCATGTAACGCACACATAATTTTTTTCGTTTATCGTTCAAGAGACATTGACATGATTATCTTGCGAGAACTTGAAAGTAAACGCCGTTTTTTCGTTTACCGGGAACTGCACTTTGCAAGTAAAGTAAAATAAAATAAAAAATTAACTTGACTGCCGGTATTTTGTGAGACACCCGCGGTACAAGCGCGTTTGTACAGGTGATTTCACTGCGAGTTTACCGGGAATTGCCTGTCAAACATTTTTACCCGGTAAAATAGGTTTTCTTTTTTTGATTAAATAAAATAAGTTTTTTCTAACATGAACTTAAAACATTATATAATTGTTATATACTAACAAAACATGAAGCACCAACCAAATAATATGTTCTAAGAAATAAACCATCAATACTAAATCTATAAAACATGATGTAATTATATAATATGTTCTAAGAGTATATCAAATAATAATTTTAAATTTTTAAAATAAAAAAAAATATGATTTTAATCAAATAAATTATTTTTATGTACAAATCAATTTACTTCAGTGATTAAAAGAATCGTTGTTGTTCTTAGAGGTCACAGATTCGAGCACAAACGACTGCAAGAGTGATTGAACATTCATTATCAAATGATTTAGAGTACTTAGAATATATATTATATTGTAATCGCCTTAATTTAATAAAAAATAGTTTTTTATAAATTAAATTGTGAATAACATTTTTTTCATCTTAAGGCATGCAAAACAAATGAGACAAAAATAAATTATAAATAGTAAAAGATTATTTGACATATATACCCTTTTTTGTGCTATTATCTGTGCAACTTGAAAATCTCTCCCCTCTATTTATACATAGCTTCTTGCTTCTTTTTCCTTCACACCATAAACCAAAAGCATAAGTCCATCTCTTGTATTAAGCACCTCTCCTCTCTTTCCTCAATCAAACCCTTTTTTCCTCCCTTTGAAAAGTGAAAGAAATAAAGATCGGAACCATGCCAGAAGCACCAAATATGACACAGAAACCTGCAGATTACAACCTGGAGTTGAAGAACAAGAAAATCCTTCAGTTCATTGAAGACATGACTTCAAACCCTGATGAAGTTCAAAAGGATGTCCTGGAAGAGATCCTTTCGAGCAATGCTCATGTTGAGTACCTGAAAACTCATGGCCTTGATGGTCGTACCGATCGAGATAGTTTCAAAAACATTATGCCTGTCATCACCTATGAGGATATCCAGCCTTATGTTGAACGTATTGCCAATGGTGATACATCTCCCATCCTTTGTTCTAAGCCCATTTCTGAGTTCTTGACAAGGTTAGGACATCACAATGAAACAAGCCTTCTCTTTTACTTCCTCTGTTTTGTTTTGTGTTGGTTTTTATAGCTACTGCTGGTTTGTTTATTGTAGCTCTGGGACATCAGGTGGGGAGAGGAAGCTGATGCCGACGATCGAGGAGGAGCTAGGGAGGAGGTCACTGCTCTATAGCCTATTGATGCCTGTTATGAGCCAATTTGTCCCTGGTCTAGACAAGGGCAAAGGGATGTACTTTTTGTTTATAAAATCCGAGGCCAAGACACCTGGTGGCCTTGTGGCACGCCCGGTTCTAACTAGCTACTACAAAAGCAGTCGTTTCAAAGATAGGCCATACGATCCTTACACAAACTACACCAGCCCAAATGAGACCATTCTCTGTCTCGATTCTTACCAAAGCATGTACTCTCAAATGCTTTGTGGACTTTGCCAACACAAGGAAGTCCTCAGGGTGGGAGCTGTTTTCGCCTCTGGCTTCATCAGGGCCATCAAGTTCCTTGAGAAACATTGGCGTCTCCTTTGCAATGATATAAGGACAGGAACCGTTGATTTCCAAATCACTGACTCCTCTGTCAGGGAGGCTGTTATGAACATCCTGAAACCCGATCCTGAACTTGCCGATTTCATCGAGGCCGAGTGTAGCAAAGATTCATGGCAAGGGATCATTACAAGGTTATGGCCTAACACAAAGTATGTGGATGTGATTGTGACTGGGGCCATGTCACAGTATATTCCCACTCTTGATTATTACAGTAATGGCCTCCCTCTTGTCTGCACCATGTATGCATCTAGTGAATGCTATTTTGGTGTCAACCTGAACCCTCTTTGCAAGCCAAGTGAAGTTTCCTATACTCTCGTTCCCGTAATGGCCTACTTTGAGTTCTTGCCGGTTCAAAGGAACAATGGGGTCTCTAATTCCATTTCTGTGCCCAAAACTCTCAATGAGAAAGAACAACAAGAACTGGTTGACCTTGTTGATGTTAAGCTTGGCCAGGAGTATGAGCTTGTTGTCACCACTTATTCAGGTACATAGTTAAACCTTTTTCAAATATTATACTATAGTTTTACTTGCTTTCACCTACTGACTTTCGTTAACTAATGTTTTCGCAGGACTCTATCGATATAGAGTCGGTGATGTGCTAAGGGTAGCAGGGTTCAAGAACAAGGCACCACAATTCAATTTCATTTGCAGGAAAAATGTGGTTTTGTCCATTGATTCTGATAAGACTGATGAGGTTGAACTTCAACATGCTGTGAAGAATGCAGTGAATCATTTGATGCCATTCGATGCAACCTTGGCCGAGTACACTAGTTTTGCGGATACCACTACAATTCCAGGCCACTATGTGCTCTACTGGGAGCTTAGTCTCAATGGTAACACCCCAATTCCTCCTTCAGTTTTTGAGGACTGTTGCTTGACTATTGAAGAATCCCTCAACAGTGTATATCGCCAAGGGCGTGTATGCGACAAATCCATTGGACCTCTCGAGATCAAGATCGTCGAACCAGGGACATTCGACAAGCTGATGGATTATGCCATTAGCTTAGGTGCATCGATTAACCAGTACAAGACGCCACGATGCGTGAAATTCGCTCCCATTGTCGAGCTTCTGAACTCAAGGGTTGCATCCTGTTTCTTTAGTCCAAAATGTCCCAAATGGTTTCCTGGTTACAAGCAATGGAGCAACACAAATTAAGTGAAATGAAGGGGGAGCACTCAATCAGTAGTTTTTTCAACTGTTGTTTATGCATAGTGACTCTTGATTAGCCATGTCATTGTACAAAAACAATTCATGTTTCAAGGAAACCTCTTCCCCATTCCCATGAAAATAAATTCTCTTTTTGTTTAGCTGCTTTATTTTCCTAATAATCATCACACTTCATGGGATTTTGGTTCTTAATTCCAGCCAGGAATCCTGCCCACTGAACTCTCATGTGCCATTGCTGAAACGGCAAACAAAGAGACACAACTGCCATAAAGACCCATCATTTTCAAGGGGGGAAAAAAGCTTACCAACTTTTTCTCATTGTGTTTATCCATTAAACTCTTTTTAATTATAATAAACTAGTTAATCCACTGTTTTTGACATGTTCGAAACTTCAAATGACCAATAAAACATGGAATCTAATACCCATGCAACAAAAGTTTGGTAAGCTTAAATTAGAAATGAAAGAAACAAAGGATACCCTTTTTCATTGTATTAAAAAGAGAATCAAATCTCTGTCAAAAGATAATAGCAGGTTTGGATTAAAAAAAGGCCCATTAGCATCGGTTTATGTGTATATATATATCGTAAAACGAACATAAAATATACAGAAAAAGGATATTTTTATCATATGAAACCAAAGGTTATAAAGATACATGTGCATTTGAAAAGGAATATGACAAAAAATGACAATGTAAGCCACATGTGTGTAGCTTTGGCCCTTAGAATTTTGTTCACAAAGACTGGCCAGGAAATCATACAAAATGGTCAAGGAACAGCAGAAGAAGGCAACAACAAGTGCCCGATGAGACACCGACTTTTGCTTTAAAGTGGGAAGGAGGATAGATAAGGTACAATCAGAGGCTGTTCCCTTGGTTTGTACTAATGTCTGGAAAAATAAACAAAAGCTGTTTTGTATCTTCTTTTTTTCGGAGAACAATTTCAGGATTCCAGACATGCACTTACAGCAGAGTATATACAATTCTCACGAATAATTTTATTTAATTTTCTTAAAATGAAACATTTTTTTATAATGAAAGGAAAAATGCAATTGAAAAGGGAATGAAAAGTAGTTGTGACACCTTTTTTTTTGTATGTTGGTGTAGCCTTTTAGGCACTGATTTTTCTTTTGAGCACCATTGTTCAATTGTGACTATTTTTTAGGCAATGGAACTTTATCCGATGAAAAGGGTTTTAATAAATATATATGGGATATGATCCAACTACACAAGGTAAAATATTTTAGTTTTATATAAATTTAGGACTGTTGAATGAGTGCAAATAGATAATTGAGACTAGCAATAGAAAATAGATGACCGAGATTAACAATAGAAAATGAGAATATATATGAAAGTATCTTGCTTAATTGAATTAGGTAAAGATTGTGACCTACCTAGAGACTGTCTTTAATCTCTTTGATTAATCCAATTATCATTTGATATATTACTATAATATATAAAAAGACGTGTGTTTAAATGTACTTAAATATAATTTTTAATTTTTTGAATATTTTTAATTAAACATCTCCCATAATTTTTAAAAATTCTAATTTTTTAAAAATTTTAATTAGACCCCAATTTTTTGAAGAAAAAAATGTAAATTGAACTATTCAAAATTTTAATTTAAACCTCTAATTTTTTTGAAGTTTTAAATTGGCCATCCTAAACTCTATCGCCAAGTTCCGCCATTGATATTAGTTGTCATTAAATGCAAAGGTTTCATTTTTATTTTCCAAAAAGAAGAAACCTTAATCAAATAATATCACTTCACCAACATAATGTTGTAAGCACACCCCTTTATTTTCTTTTTCTTTTTCAATCACAAATGGGTGATGAGGTAGATTTGTAGGTAGGGGCTAACAATCCATTCCATGAGGGCATAAGATAAGTCATATGAAAGCAACTTCACCAATGATTTCATGTAGTGGGGCACAGAAATGTGTGTGTAATGGTACTTTGATTAAATTATTGAAGTGATCATTTAATTAATGAGGTGAGTTAAGCATGGGATATATATTTTATGGTTGAGTGTGTGGTACTTACTCCATTAGGAAAGCCTAAATTCAACCACTTAAAAGACTACAAGTTAAAGGCGAAATATTCTATTTTGTTAGTTGGTTTTAAGATTAGGGTTGAGTGATTCTTTTGATTTGAAAATGTTAATTTGGAGACCAACTCCCTCAATTATTTGAGATATTCTACCTCCTTGCTCATATACAATGATAATCAATAAAAAAAAACTTCTCTTGAAAAAGATTATTGATTGACATTAAAATTGATCCTTGAACAGATAACTTGATCCTTAAACATATATAATGATAATCAATAAAAAAAAACTTCTATTGAAAAAGATTATTGATTGACATTAAAATTGATCATGCTGATTAAGAAACGTGAAATTTGCATTTTTTGTTATGTGAGGCAGTGCAGTTGCGAGTTCGTCTCTTGTTAGTAGCTTATTCCCGGTTTTATTTAGTCGTATTATTTGGATTGTAAGTTTGTTGATTTTGTTCCATCCGGGTTGTATGTACTATTATTATTCATTTAGGATTAGAGAGGTTTTTAATGAGTAATACAATTTGGATAAATTTTCCTATTTATAATAAAATCATCTTGTGAAGAAAAAAAATATTGCCCTCGTCTTATTAAAAAAATTAATTAATTATAAGCCAATACGCGCATATATATATTTCAAAGACAAAACCCTCTAAATAGGCATGATGTAGACAACAATTTTGGAACGAAATTTATGAGTGGGCGCCTAAGTAAATAAGGGCCAATCCTGCCTAATTCCGCAAAGACAAAACATACGAACAAAGAAAATAAATAAAAAGATGTACGTTGGCCCAAAATTCACGTGAAATGTGAAGTATGGGCATGTTAGAAGGCTATTTTGATGTAATCACACACGTGGCCAATTTGGTGAAAAACGTCATCAGACAACAACACGTGTGGCCCCATAGATCATGGACTTTGAAACTGCCCCACCCACACGTGAGGGATATCTGCCTTGCTTTCCCCTCTCCGGTGCCCATCCCCTTCATCAAACTCTGTGGATCCCTATTGACTGGTAAAGTTATCAACGATTATAGATGGTGATACGATGGTAATTCTGATCATGTAGGTCTGATTTTCTGATGAATAAGTGTTTTTTTTTTACTCTTTGTTGTATGATTATTTATAGTGGTTCGGACAGGTGTTGAAAACAAGTTGTTATGATATTGGTATTAATTAGACGTCCTAAGAAGTAATGACTTAGATTGGTTGATTATCAAATGACATCACTTACACCAATACACGTGGTCGCTGATGATCATATGCAAAATATATACACTAAATCGTAAGTAGTCGACACGATATCACTAATAGTCGGTCGCAAAATACATTCTGCATGTCTAAAGGCTCGTATAACATAAGTTCGCATGACAGCAATTCGCAGGTAGTAACAGACTAACAGTCTTCCTATTTGCTGGTACGTGTTTCATAGAAATATATATTTTATATTCATATTCAAATATGTGTCAGATAAATTTCTTGTAACACGAGTCAATATCTTACTTTCTTACGAAGTCGACCTCCAAACTCAATACATCACCGAATATACGTACACAAAACATAAATATAAAATATACGTCAGCAAGTTAAACCAGAAAAGTAGAACAAAAGACATTTGATTCATAAAATTGAAGGGTGATGAAAGATATGACAGAAGCACCCAGTCACCATGTTTTGGAAAATTTTATATATGTTTATGTATATATCTGGTTTGGTAGTTGAATTGACATAAATAATTTTGACAAAGTTGAAGGAAAGACTCTATATTGATAAGATTATATGGATTATTATGATTATCGGTGATTCATCTCTTATGATTTAGATGGAGAACTATAATTGGTAAGAAATCAACAGTTAACGAGTGTTAATAAATTTTGTCTCTATAAAGAGGTAGAGCATAAAAAAACGAGGATAAGGTAGTTTCATTCAGATCGCATCTCGTCTTTCGATCTCGATCAAGAGGTTTTATTGGAGGTTTTTAGTGGGTGTGTTAGTCGTAAGATCATAATAAATGCTCATAAATTAGTAGGCTAGGCAAATATGATCAGTTGGTGATGGATTTAGTTCTGATAGATCACATGAGTATGTTAAAAATCACATCCACCAATTACGGCTTCCCAATAAATGCTAGACGTTTCCTTTATCTTCCGAAGGTCCCTAATAATAGAAGTTTCATAAATTCTCTAAGGTTTTCGGATGGTAGAAAGGCAGGAGAAAGGCACGTAAAAGATATATGCAGAAGAGCTTTAACAAGGTAAAACATTTTAAAACATTATTAATTGTATGTGATGTATCCAATCCTGGAGAGACAAGGAAGCAGTTTCTCAGTAATGATAACAGTTATCCTGGTGGAATGTTTTCGTCCACCATTGTTTAATCTAACAATTAACACTCGGAAAAATAGGTAATGAAACCGACAGTTGGGACAACATGAAATAAATAAAACAGACTTATCTGATGTATCTGAGCCACATTATTCATGCAGAAGCCGTAAAATACTCTTTATTGTCCCTAACATGAATTGGACAACCATTATTCATGCAAAAACAAAGCTTGAAAATAACTGGAATTTACATCATTGATTGCTGATCGAAACATTGTTTAATAAGCAGATAACAGTAATCAATGGTGGATCAGTTAACATTCAACCAAGTTTTAAGACTAGGTATGGATAATGTTCTAGTTTGAATATAAGGCAGGTTCTGTGGTGACAATTTGTGGTTTTTTTTCTGTAATGACAATGATTATACAAATATATAATTAGAACCTTGTTTTGGACATGTCTTCCTACCATCTAACACCGCTAAATTCGACTGATTAAACAAATTTGAATCTTTAAACTGTTTATAAATAATCATTAGTCAATTAAACCACACTTATAAATATTATTATCTTCTTATCTGGTGTTTCTTCCTACTAACTACTCTGGTTTACTTAAACAAGATGGTTTTGACACTACCGGCAAGCTTTCATCATGCATTGACTGACTGCCATTGTTTGAGAAAAAAAAATATTTAGCATTTTAAAGAAGAATAAATGGGCCAGGAGTGGTTGGGACAGTTGTTGATTTTCAAACCTGTTACTTTCAAAAGTGATGTGTGTCTGTTAGAAACTAAAATTTTTTGAAGATATTCCAACAGATTGTAATAATTCATGGCAAGTCCAAATTTTGACAGTACTTGTGTATTGGCATTGCTATTTCGTTTTATGTTCCCTTTAAAATTCATATATTCGGCCATTTGGGATACCTCTACTTTGGGTCATAGCACAGAGCAGAATCTACCTTGGTTCAGTTAAGCCCATTTTCATGCTTCGGCCATGTATTTTAAGATTTCAGATGTCTTGCGTTGGACATGCGTAAACTATATGTTTCATGGACTCGAAAGTTCGGTTTTTTTTTTCTAAATTTTGTTCATAATTTGGAAGGATCGTTGTCGTGTATATTCATGCTCGAATATGTGTTGAATGTAGACGATGTTGGAACTTTGGAATCAAATACATATGAAGCTTAGTGTACATATATGCAAGTAAGCTCTCGTGTATATATATATATATATATATATATAATATGAAGTTGAATCCATCATGTGGATTCAGTAATAAAAGGGAATATTATTCTTCCAAGAGGATAAAAGTTCAAGTAGTTGTACCTGCAGGGTGTGAGAGTGTTGTCAATAGAATAAGAAAACTTTGAATAGATACTATCTTATAATCACTCTGACTATTCAAAATAAAAAGTTTTCATACGAAGTTAATTTCTGCACATTATTTGTTGATGTAAAAGCTTATTTCTATTGAAAAACTTGGGATTTGAATTATAATATGATAAATTAGATTAATTCAAGATTTGTCACATTAAATCATTAAGAAAATAAATTAAATGTTATATATGAAAGTATATTTGATTCCGTTGTCGGAAATGAATTAGCAGGTAGAGATCTTCCAAGAAGATAGATTTTCCTTTGAATAAAAACTTTCTTTTACTGTCAAACTTGTATTATAAATACAACTTATGGTATCTGTATTTTATTTTCATGACAATTTAATATTTATAACACGTATAACATAATTGGTCACTTAATTTTGTATCATACTTTATAATAACATTATACATATGTTCCTACAATTATAGATCTTAATTCAACAATATTGACATAAAACCTTGAAAATCTTAAGATTTATTATCTTTATAGTTTTGAATTTCTTGAATATTGATTTGGAATTTAACATTTTTGTTTAGAAAGTGTTATTGCTAGTGTAATCTTTATTCATTTTATGTTTGATATATCACATTTTTATAACAATAAAAGATACTTTTGTGGGTTTTTTTTAATTATTATGTTAGCTTCATGTAAACTTTTGTGTACCTAAGGTTTCTATTTGTTTGTCCGACATGTTTAATGTATCTTGTAGTTACTAATGTAATTATTTTGTAATAGTTTTACATATAATCATAATATACATCGATTCATCAAATGTTCATAGTAGTTATTAGTTTATATAATTTTTCAAAATTTGACATATAAAAATTTCATGACTCCGTTTTTTTATCATTTGAACTAGGATCATAGTTAATTCAAACCCTACTAGAATGGTAAGAAGTTTAAACTTACATTTCACTTAAAAAAAATTAAAAAAAAAACTCAATTAGGGGTGTAAATGAATCAGACTTGAACGAACGAGGTTATGGTTGTGTCTGTTTGTTTATTTTTGAAGGTGTATATGTTTGATTTATGTTTGTTTAAATTTTTAATATCATGTACATGTTAGTTTGTTTATTTTTGAAGTTGTTCATGTTCAGTTTGTTTTGTGCTTGCGAACATGTTTGTCAATATGTTCGTTTAGCGTTTATCAACATATCGTTTAACATTTACCAAAATATTTATTTAGTGTTCACAAATATGTTTGTTTATATATTCAAAAATGTTAAATTAAACTAACAAACAAAAATTAAATAAAACTTAGCATTCAACGTGAACTTATATAGCATCCAAACAACAACAAATACAGACTTAAAAGTCAGATAAGAATATGTTCGTTCTAATAGGATTTACATACCCTTGACTCCAGGATTTCGTTCAAGAAAGTTTAACACGATTTTGAGGGTGGTTCATAACTCACGTAAGACCTAATCAAAGTGGCAAGGGAGTGACTAGGGATGGACCGAGGAGTACCGGAAGCAGTCACTCTGTGAAAATTTCAAAGTATCATATATATTAGATATTTTTTATTGATAATGTGTTTTTGTATCTCAAGAATTTTATAAGTTCGCTCTCCTCTAAAATTTTAAATGTTTACCGTCTAACATAAAATTTGTCATCTGTCTCTAGGCGTGACTGAACCAATGCCAAGGGACGCGAGTTTGAGTCCCCTCAACAACCAACACACTCTTTTTACAAGCCAAAGAAAAATTATGAAATTATGTCACTAATTCTTAAATTCCTTAAATTTTACAGTTTAAATTCTAAAATTTTAAAATGTGTTCAATTTAATCCGTAGCTTTATCAATATTTAAAGTGTAAAAAAGTTAAAAGAAAAAAAAACCAGATAAACGAATAGATTAATAAATATATAGACGAATTTTTAAATATATTTTTTGTAAACATAAATAAATCGAATATATCTTCGTTCATATTTATTAATTTATTATATGAACATAATTCACAACCAATTTATGGAAGGATGTATTCAATTATACCCTAAACTCAACTCAATATTTATCAAGCCAAAATCAATTTATTTTTCAAGTTTAAATTAGAGTAGCATTCCACCATAAATATTTCATTTACACTCTTAAACTCGATTACATGTTACTTGTTAGGATGTGGCGAGCTAGGAATGCCAAGTTGGTCCATGTGTGTCAAATCATATGGGTGGGTCACCTACAATAGCCACTTTAGCTCGTAACGCAATCATAATAAATACAACCAACATTCTCCACTTGGCTACAAATTTTACTGTCACTCTTTTCATTCCCAAAGTGGAAAAAAAAGTAAATAAAGCACATCTTTTGTCCCATTTTGTCAGATTTCCCCCCCCCCCCCTTAAAATCCTCTTCTGACAGTAGTTCCAAATAACAATAAACTCTGAACCTTAATAGCCTATGGCTCTATACACAACCTAAATATTAAAATAAAAGAAAATCAAGAGTCTAAACTGTGGAATGTGAAATTATATATTTGCCCTTCAGTTACTATTATTACAACCACTTCGAGAGTTGGATATTTTTCTGTCTTTTTAACTGCAATATACCACCGTTTGCTTCACGTGTTTACTTCTCCTCTAACCAAGCTATAGATTGACTAAATTGCCCTCCAAAGGGTTAATTAACCCTAGTTTATGATCATCATTGTGCTTACGGTTAGTGTTTTTTCTTTTATAAAGAATAATAATTTTGCTTGCCTTGGAGCAACATCCAAATCTAAACATGAAAGATTGGGATTGATTGATCTTTTGTCCATTGCTTCTATTTGGTAGGGTATCCAATTTTTTGAGCAAATTATTTGAGTTTTGCTTGTGACAAAAGAAATGAGAATTCCAAAATAGTATATCATTTGTATTGTATTTCTTGAGTTCCCAAAGTATATAAAATTTGACTCTAATCTTTATTTATGTACAATTGTTTAATTCAATATTTTTATATAAATACAGTAGTTTAATAATAATAAAAAGTATGTTATTGTGGACGTCTTGACTAATATGAGTCGTAGTAATCCTGTTGACAAATAATGATATTTTTCGTGACTCTCACCGGACGTTAAAAGCATTAGTTATTAGAGAGGAGACCACACATCTAATTTATATTCTTGTTCATTGTTAATAAAAAGAACCTTATCACACATTTATTACTTATATATTCATGTTTAGTAATAGAAAATTATTTGACACAAGGACTACATAAATTTTAGTTTATATATTTTTTATATTTTAATGTAATTTTTTTTAATATTAAGGTTTTAGTATTTAAAATTTAATATTTATGATTTAAGTTCAAGATTTATAGTTTAAAATGTAAAGTAAAGTTTAACAATAAAATATATAATTGTGTAGATTAATATTATACCTTCTTAATATCGAATAATATCGAATAAATTATCATGTATATTTATTTTTTTAAATAAGAGAATAGAATAATTTTTTATCAATATACCATAAGTTTAATTGTTAATTTTTTTATATATTTTTAAAAAAGTAAACAAACCCAAAAAAATCTAAGAATATTCCATTAATGTTCATTAATTATGTGATAAATTACCAAAATAGTTAATTAAACTCTAACCTCCTTTTTTTAATAAATTGACTCCATTCACCAACAAGGACAAAAGAGTCATTCCAAGTTTCCAACCATATTTTAAAGTCTATTACACATTATTTTTCCTTTCCATCCAATCCCATTTCCCTCTTAAGTCTTAATTCGTTTTTTTTTTTAATTTTCATATCTTTTTCTCTTCCTTTTCTTTTCCATCTTTCTATGCATTCAAAGCTGCATCCATGACAGCCTATAATATTTCCAGTATATTTTCTCTCTTCATTCTCCTTTTCCCTCTCTCTTTCTCATACTCTAAATCAACAATCCATGATCTCCTCGTTTCAAGAGGCTTACCAGCAGGGCTACTCCCAAAGGAAGTGAAATCATATACGCTTTCAGATGATGGAACCCTCGAGGTTTTCTTGGATGGACCATGCTTGACCAAGTATGAGAACAGGGTGTTTTTCGACAGCGTCGTGATGGCTAACCTCACCTATGGCAGTCTCGGCGGTGTTGTTGGGTTAATACAGGAAGAACTCTTCCTTTGGTTACCTGTTAAAGACATCATTGTGGATGACCCTAATTCCGGTCTCATCTTGTTCGACATTGGTGTTGCTCACAAACAATTCTCTTTGTCACTCTTTGAAGAACCTCCTGCCTGTAAACGTCAAGGTAAACCCTTGCCGGAATATTCTCCATCCCTTCCCCTTGTTATGTTTAATGCTTACATGAATTCTGAGTGGTCATCAGTTAGGTAGGGTTTCTGTTGTTATATCTTTTGCAAATAGAAATAGCTTTTGGTTTTAAATTGCCTAAATATATCACTTTCTCTTTTATTTTAACTATATAACATTATGTTAAATGTAGGAATTATTGATTTTATTTAACAATTTATTAACAAAAGAAGATTTATTTATTTGAATTTAGTTTTACTGATAATGGGAGTGTGTTTTCAGGAATGTTGAAGAATCAAGTGAGAAAAGAGAAAGAGTTGGAGGCTGTGAGCCTGTGAGATAAAACTAAAAGTAAAAAATTCAATCCAAGCTGCCTCAAACTTTTTTCCTTTTTGATTTTTGTTTAATATATAAAATAATTAATTAGGGTTTTTCTTCTTCTAATCATAGTTAAATATAAGTAAATTTAGTTTATGCTTAAGAGTTGTAAAGAAGTGTTTCTTCTTGGAATCTAGCTTCCTTGTCAAATTACAAAGTCTACTCTTTTTTTTTCTTTTAATCTAGCCTCCATTTGATCATCTAAGTTAAAATTCTTGATCAAATTCAGATGCTGATATTAACTAGAAAGTTTACTTAAATTATTATTGAAATCATTATTTTAATATTTGATTAATAAAATTTATGTTATAATTACTACTTTAGTTTACGCGGGAAAAGTGTGGTTACCATTAAATGGTCCCACAGACAACCAGATGTGGGATACATGAAGCATTTATTTATTTATTTGTCATCAGCTTTGGCATTATCAGTCTTAGCACTTTTATACTACAAATTTTCAGTCCCAAAATTACAAATTAACTATGTATAAAGGTTTCGTGCAAATCAAGCAATGTTACAACAAGAATTCGTAGTAAACCTAGAAAACTGAATTGCCATGAAATATATGAAGAAATTATTTGGGATTTATTAGGTTTTCCTGCTAAGCATCACTGCTAATATACAGGATATCTTCTTTCGCTATTTGCATCTGTCCTTTATCTTTTCTATTGTTTGTTTGTGACCGTTCCGGTTGGCCTCGCTGGAAAGAAGATTTTCCGACAAGTTAGTAACATCGAATTCGAAAGATGGCTAAAGTCAAGAATGCATGGTGCAAATAGCAAATAAGAGGTGAAATATGAATCTATTAAGATACAGGATTCGGAACCAACCTTCTTTAAAACAAATGCGTGGTATAAATAAGCCACCTCCCATTCATCTGGAGATAATGTGCCTGGAAATCAAAATTGAGAAACAAAGACCAATGATGAACTTACTCTGGTCTTGGTTGCCATCACCTAATGCACCAAGCCTCCTCATAAGCTCTATATATTCTGGTTTTTTCATGTACTCGTGCACAAATTCGTGCGAATTTTTTGACAAAAACTAGTTCTAGATCATACTGCAAGACCAATACAAGAAGGCACGACCATAACTAATTTATAGTACATAATAAACCCCAAAAAATGATGAAACTGTTCCAAGAAAACAGAGTTTTGATTAGGATATCATTTATAAGGCTAGAAACCTCCATTTTCTAGAAAAAGGGTTTGGCATGATCAAGCATTATACCTCTTCTGCTAATGACTTGAAGAGATGGAAAGGAACAATCCATTCGGGACAATCGACAGCATCCTGCAACAGGACATATTATTCTCTCAAATTATGATACTAAAAGAAATAGAATTTGCGTTATTTGGTGTGAACAGCCAATATCAAGAATAGATATCATTGAAAACAGTACCTCTAAGTGAAACTTGTACTTGATACCAAAGGGACTAGAAGATTTAAATTTCTGAACTATGTCATAAAAGAGTATCAGAATAGGATAAAACATCAATATCTTTCTGTAAAAGTAGTTGCAAGACAATGCTATTCACCTTGTCAGAAAATTCTTCATCAAATTGTATCCAGTAGACACTGTTGCCAAAAGACATTCCTTCAGCTGCATAGTTACAGGGAAAACAGCATCCAAAATCAAGATTGAAAAATGCAGTCTGTCAAGCACAACAATCCTAATGCTCAAAAATTTCGGCGAAGAAATGACAAGAAACAGAAGAAAGCTTTACACTATAAATAATAACATACTCTAGAATGGAAATAGTTAATTATGATTAGATAACCTAAAAGTGACCCCAAATAAAACCTAAAACCATGTTATCACTTTGCTAATTGATCTAAAGAAACCGTAAATTACATGATGATTTAGGCACCTACATATTTGTGGAAACCAAATTTCCTATTTAATTATATTAACTGTGTAGTTATACATAGGATGCTTCTTAACCATAAGTTTCATTTATTCCTTTACTTAACTATCCATTTTGCATTAAATTTAATCGAGTTATCTGTAGAGAAACAACTTTCTATAACATTTTCTAAAGACGAGAACTACAAGGCAAGTTGCAATAGTAAACCTTCTCTAAGCTTTTTGATTAACACATTGGCATCCGGCATTGTGCCGATGAAGGTGCCTCCAGGACGAAGTAAAGATGATACATTGGCCAGTGCCCGACGTGCACGTGCTTCTGTTGACCAGGAATAATGCATGGCAAACTGCAAAATCCAAGATTGTCTTGTAACAGCCACAATTATGGTTTCAGTTAAGGTGACAATTTGTTAAATAGCTTCAACAGATCTCGATAAACTTTTGTGGTAACTTTATCATAAGGAAGCAGAATAGATGTAATAGTAGATTTTCCAAATTCCAACTATTGAAAAGAACATTAACGCCACTTCAGTTACCTGGCAACTGCAGATATCAAAAGGACCATCATTTGCCAAAACTCTATCAAGGCGCACCTGAAAATCATCAACTCATAAAAATTAGAAAAATATCTTGCAATGCCTGCTAAACCATGCACAACCTTAGTTAATAAGTTGGTCCCAAGGTCCAATTTCCCAAAAGACATTTTTTTCACTGGTAAGATATATATTTTATTAAGACGTAATTTTGAAAAGGTTATCAACAATCTCATTACCTCAAAACAATCACCCATACATGAGACGGGCAGGAAAAGTGAACTTTTTGCGACGTTGATGGTGGTCTGCATCACCATTGTATCGTGTACGACAATCTTCTATCTGTGTGCATAAATGGAGAATGCAAAATCAATATTACAATTTGTGACACAAATATATACCACAGAAAGGATTTTTTTTCCTGCTGCTGTTTTCTACTTTCTAAATTCCTTTGGGGTTTGGAGGAGCATGGGAATGAAATGTGTTTAGCAAGACAACTTGACTGCAGGCTATTAAAGGCTTTAGAAGCACACATTTTGTCCGTGATTTTAAGCTAGAGAAAATCTACACTCCCATACACTATTGCACAAGACTCATGTTTCAAAAGGCTGTATTTTGATAATTATTTCAAGTCAAAAGTAGAACAAACCGTGTAACAAATCCAAGGATTAATTCACATAATTCTACTTGAAATCAAATTCAATGCATTGCTGCTGCAAATACTACTGCTTAAAGAAATTAATTGCTCCGAATAATCATGGTATGTACTCAAAGAGGCCTAGATACCAGATAAATTGCCACGACTTAACTGAGCTGCTAATTGGATAAATATATAAAGAAAAATAGGAAATCAAAAACTGAGACTTAGCACTTTACCGAGCCTTCAGCTATATCAATGCCAACATAATAGTCAACTTTTGCTTTATCCCACTTGATGAGATCACCACCCTAAAACGCATAAAAACAAACCATAACACAATGTCTAAAATACATTGAATTTGGCAAAAATAAGTAAGCTAATTAAAACTAAGGGTCCCAAAATACCTTCCCACAAGCAAGATCAAGAACAGCATCACCCCCTACGAGCATAAAGCTGAATCAAGACACTTTTAATCTGTACAATCAAGAACAAAATAAACGAGAAATGATTCAGAAAATATATCATAAGTTTAGAATGCAGTTCATGTGATTCGAAAACATACCCAATTATTTAACTTCTTTAAGTGTATGATCGGACTCGCTTCTCGTTCTTCCAAAGTTTGATTTGTTCTTGAACTATAATGATCAGCTACTTTCCTAGCAAAAATCTTGGTGCTCTCATCCTCCAAAAATTGTGCATCACCTAATAGTGATACCGCAATACAAATTCAGCTTTTCAATAGAACTTTAGATGGAATTCTTCATTATCAGCTGTAAAGCTAGCAATCAAAAATTGGATTCCTTTTCAGTCCTCTCAAATTGAACTTTAAAATTCAAATTGAACTTTCAGGGTCTTTTTTTTTTCGTTTCATGAATCACTATGAACTTCGAAACTCATTTCCAAGAATCTACAGTTTAGCCAAACAACCAAACCAAAATAAAAACTTCATTACCATTTTGAGAAACTGCAATTCAATAAAGTATAAAAGCCCAAAGCTGAAAACTTGCGTAATTACAAAAGGAAGCCATCAAAAACCAAGAAAAAGGAAACAAATCTCAACGAGAAATTTACCTTGAGGGTTATATTTGGATCGAGATTTAGATGGACCAGAAGAGGAAGAGGGAGACTCCGGGTATCCACGTTTCATAGCCAAAATTATGAGAAATTAAAGGGAAGAAAAAGGTTAAACTTGTTTTATGAGGCTCAAAGGATCAAATGTGTGATTTATTAGATCAGATGTTTTCTGGGTTGGGTGTGTTTTTGTTGGATAGAAACTCAAAGAAACAATAGGAAAGTGGGTTTCGTTATTGTTCGTGTGGGCTTAGAATTGGATCAAAAGAAGACTACTTCAGTCCAGAACAAAACGTAATAATTTTTAATCTTTAAAATTTATATATAATTTATAAAGTTAATTTTAATTCGAAAAAATTAATAAATTTAATCTTTTATATTTAGAAATTTCATTATTTTAATATTTTTTTATTCTCTTAAACTGTATGTTCTTATCCCAAAAATAGTATATTACTTTCTAATAATAATTTCTGTTGTTTTATGACATAATATAATTATCTAATTACTATTTCAATTTAATAGGCTAGCTTCATTTAATAATATTAAAAAATTAAATTATTTAAGATTAGGAACAGGTTAATGGAATATATAAAATTTAAGGATTAAAAATATTATTACACCAAATCACATTAAATGTCCGTTTTAATTTTAACAATAAAATAATATATTTATAATACTTTTTTAATTGAATAATTTTTTTATTAATTTTTAATAAAAATAAAACATTTAATACTTAAAAATTCAACGCAAATACTACTTAAAATTTGAAGTTTTGGTTTGAAGTTTAGCTTGTACTTGGTGTAGTTGACTTTACATCTGTCTCTTAGCCGCCATTATATTATTATTATACACTTATAATGGATACGAACATTTTGGCAACTTAATATTAAACTTATACGAATCCAGTAATCTTAAAAATAAAAAAATAATGTTATATTTTATATAAGTTTTGAGTTTGAATCAATAAATCAAAAAATAAATATATACTATTTTATAATTAAATCTAGACTAACAAAAAATATAAAAATTATATTAAATAATTAATTAACTAATTTTTATAAGAAATCAAT